ACCAGTCGGCTGCTGGAAACACATACCTGGCGGTGAAATGGCGGGGGCATGACTGCCCTACATGGGAGCTCGAGGAAGATGTCATGGCACGGGATTGCTGGGAGAACAGGCAGAATTGGGACAAGCTGATATGCAGTGCCGTTGAAGCGGGATACGGTCACTCGGCAAGTTTCACGTAACTCTGGCGCCCGATAGGTTTGACTTCTTGGCACTCTGACACTCTTATTTCTATACTGCGTAATGCTGTACATATCTATGTACCTCAAAAATCTCATGCCTAGAACGGGCGCATAGTTCATGCCGCTCATTGTCCACTACCAGCGTGCTGCATTTGGATTTATGTACAACTATTACTATTCACTGGTCACCTTTCGGACTAGCTGCTTATCTGTGAAGCGTAGTTTATCTGTCGGTTCTGCCCCTGTCGACATGAGGTATTGTAGTATATAGGGCCACCCCCTGGCAAGCGACAATGAACAATTTCATGCTAGGGCGTAAGCTTTTCGAGCACAGCATTCTCCTCATTCCATAGCAATGCAAACTCATATGTTTCCGACGGTTTGTATTCTCCTTGGAGTCTTGAGCGTCTCCCATGGATGTGCAGGTGGTTGGCTCGTATTAATATCTTAATATACCAGAAACTCAGCCCAAGTGACTTTATTAAGAATTAACATGAGAATAAATAAAATCAGTAAATACTGACGGAGCAATAATACGAGCTGACCCTGCCCGTTGAACAGTCGCCGGCTTTGACATGCTAACAACGGCGGGGCCCCCAGTAGCCATAAAGACGAATTCTGGATGCCAATGGGTGGCAACGGGCGAGAATCGTTGACGCAGAAAACTACCTAGTTTCTGTGCTTCCTCGAACGCAGCACGACTTGCATCACTCGTCATCCACATCATTATTATCACATACCACGTCCGGGATGGCTTCCACCAGGGCCCGCAGGCACGGCCAGTGGACGTCGCGCGCCCACCGGCCCAGGTACTGTAGCGCGCGCACAATCTGATACACGCCTATGGAGCTCGAGGTGCTTCCGATGATGACCTTTTGCCACAGCACCGTCCTCTCGCCCTCGGTCGTCGTGACAAGCAGGATCCACTCGTGGCCCTGGACGATGATGCTCGGGAGAAAGGCTGGCAGCCTCGACGTTGCCGTTGTAGCTCCTGGCGCCTCGTCCGTCGCTGCTGCGCCGATCCGTCCCGCCGCCTCGAGCGCCCGCAGAAACGACCACCGTGCCATCTCCCACACGCCTAGCTGCAGCCTGGCCGCGTCAAAGTTCTCGCTCGGCTTCTTAGTCTCAATGCTTAGCGCGATGAAGCAATCGTATAGTGGCGCAAAGTCGGTAAAGTTAACAATACGCCGCGGCATGACGGCTCGCGCGCGTGCGGCCGCCGACGGGAAATCGGGCGCCGAGGCGTCGTTTTCGGGCTCGATGCAGACGCAAAAGTCGACTCGCTTGGTCAGCGTTGGGTTGCCATACTCGGCCATAATGGTGGCCGTTGTGCTGCTCGCAACTAATTAGCTCGGATAGGCAAGACAGAACTTCCCCGGGGGGCACAAGATCCAGAGGGGAGGGGGCGGGGCAACTCACCATCCCACAAAGTTAACTAGATGGCTGTATCTGGGCTTCCCCCGCGGCTGAAAGGCCATCTGCAGAACCTGGTCGTGCACCATCATGTTCCAGTTGGCCTCGGGGTGGTCGCGCGTGCTGCACCGAATGGCCGCGTCGACGACGTGGCGGACGTCATGCGGCGACGGCGTCTGGCCCGCCACGGCTGGGTCGTCGGAGAGGTGGTGGTCGTCGAGCAGCGCCCACCGAAACTCGACGTCCGACTTGGCCGCCTCCTCCAGCGCCGATTGCGTGTCGCGCGCCACGACTCGCTTCCCGCGCGAGATGGCGGCGACGCCGTCCACCAGCTCCTGCAGCCCCGTCGGCATCGCAGCGCGGAACATGGCCAGCTCGCGCACGTCGAGGCCGCGGCTATCGAGGTGCAGCCTGCGCAGTTGCTTCCGGGGCGATACGCGGCCGGAGCGCCTCGACGAGGGCGAGTAGTCCGCGGGCGGCAGCGACGAGTCCTGGCTGAGCCCGGAGGAGGAGGCGGCCGCCGGGACCTGGATTCGCTTGGCGCGCGGCGTCTCGTCGTCGAGGGGCCGCTTGTTGGGCGAGCTGCTGCCACGCGTGGGCGATGCCATGTTGCTGCGCTCCGTCTGGTTTGATCCCGGCGGCGTGAAGGGGTTGAGCCGGCGTGGCTTGCTGGCGTGCCCGTGGTCGCGGTCGTGCTGCACCGTTGCCTTGGAGGAAGGTGGCTCGCCGTCGCTGTCGTGGGTCGTTGCGTCGAGCCAGTGCTGAATTTTGTCGAGCCGCATATTCGCCTGTAAACAAGGCGGTTCTGTTAAGTCTCGTGGCCGATTTTACGCATGGTTAGTGTTAAGCGATAAAGTGTTTGTCGTGCATGGCAGACGATGGATGGTGGTGGTAGTGGTGGATAGTTGGCTAGGCAACCAAAGCACGTGCCAGCACCCGTCTCTAGCGCCCAGTACAGTACGGATACAATCAAGATGAATGTTGAGGAGAACGTATAAAGCACTTAAGAGGATTTGTATAATGTCAAAGTTTAAATTGGGTTAATACCGATTTTCCCTTTCCATTAATCGCGGAGCCTGTTGCGTTGTGTATCCATCCACTGCCAGTCTGCAACGTATGTAAGCCCCACCTCTGTAGAGGAAAATTTAGCTACGCAGCGTACTCCGTACGCCCAGTAGAAAGCATTAGCCATTGAACTGTTTAGCACTCTTACGCGTTGATATTCACCAGCTTTCTCTAGTTTTTGTAATTTTTAAGCCAAGATCCTGTCCGCAAAGTAGCCTCCATGTTAGTACTTAATACAGGAAAATGCTCTTGCAATAGGAATTTTAGATACAGTGGTTTGCCTGCCACTAAAACAAAACAGAAAACGCCCATTTTCTTCTTACCCTTATGACACAACGCTCCTGTGGTTGAAGAACATGCGGAAATCTTTGATTTAATTTGATTCGATTTGATTTGATGTGACTCTAACGTCCGTTGGTGCCCTAGTGTATTGTAGGCTTTTAGACGCGCTAACTAGCTTCATCAGTTATATATTGGCCTAACCCCCTTGTAAGGCAGGAAAACAACTAACAAGCGCTAGGCCCTGAAGCCCGTACCTGGCTAGCAGCGCCCAGTGGCATATATCTGTCGGTAACGATACCCGTCAGCGGGATCACGATGATGTTGGCCGGATGGCAGCGTCTACAATCGCGGTCTCGTCAACAACTTTTGTCCCTTGGTCTTTATACGGGGACAAACGGGAGCCCTTTTGTCGTCGGAAGGTAGGAAGATACAACCCCCTCGCGGTGACCTCCGCGAGGCTGTCCTCTCTGAGGAGGCTGGCTGCCAGGCAAGACATCGTGGCTCAAGAGGACTAGAAACTCCCCAAAATTCGTCCTTTTTGTGGCTGCCGTGGCTGCGAAGGCACGTGCCATCAAAACCGCAAGTCACTAGGCAAGGGAGAGTTGAAATAGCAGACCGCATCAATACTCAACAGACCGACGGGGTCGAACAGACCGACGGGGTCGAACAGACCGACGGGGTCGAACAGACCGACGGGGTCGAACAGACCGACGGGGTCGAACACAGACCGACGGGTCGAACAGACCGACGGGGTCGATTGGCGAGACATACACAGCTCAAAAGGAACATGAATTCTCCAAAATTCATCCTTTTTATGGCTGTTATGACTCGCTAGCCATGCCATCAAAACTGCGGGCCTCTAGGCCTGCAAAAGCCCAACCACTAACAGCTCCTAACAGCTGCAGAAGCGGGAATATTTTACAGGGGAGAGTTGTGAACATGCAGAAATCGGCGGCCAACTCGATTCGCCGTAGGGTAAGGCCGGCTCGTTGAGAACCAGATGGGCGTGTTTGATGGCACTAAAAGGAGTAAAGTCATTCTATCATCTTCACTACCTGTACTGTACTGTAGCGGATACTTACATTTGCAGTTATGTACGCATGGATATGTCATTAGTAGGCGGGGTATGCAGCAGCTGCTCCACACGTATTCCGCATTCATGAACTTCTTTCTTTCTAAACCGACTTTGACATTACAACAGGAACCTATGCAGCCGTATTCAGCTAGAGCTTTGCGGCAAGAAGCTATCAAACTATGGAAATATATCTTCACCGCTATACGCACGCACAACACACGAAACAATACTTGCGGGAACCCGGTTCAGGCAGCCATATGATTGGATGCAGCTCTGTCATATGATGGTGGTTGCTTCCAGCTGAATAAATGGCGTATGCAAAGCCAGATACACACCAATGAAATTCTATGAAGCCACACCATCTTAGCCAGACGATACGTGGCAGTAGGATGACAACAGTAGATATACCAAGCAAAGTGATGCAGCACTGTCGGTAATTTAAGAAATTAAACCTTTGAAACTAAGAAGCAATCATTCAGCTTCATCGATCCTCATAAATTTACCGACCGTTTTCGTGTTTACTCAATCTTCATTACACCAAAATGGGGGATGGCATTAATATTTTCTTACCTTGGAAATGGAACAAAAATGTACGGAAAGCGGCCTTGAAGAAAGCTGCCAAATGTCCCGGTGGCAAAAGTCTTGCAAGCTGGGCAGGGAATGTACAAAATGAAAAAGCTTGCTGATAATGTTGATGAAGGAACTACAGCTACTGTATCAAAAAGTTCATCCCATCACTGCAAGTTGCCAGCCAGTCAGTATGCGACAACATTAAGGTTTTTACCTATTTCAACATGCTCGCGACCACTGCTGGCCTTGGAGCAATTATAGTCTTGACATACCAAGGCGTACAGGCCCTGAATCTCATCAATAGCAATCTGACGGAAATCTCAACCAGCCTTGCTGCGCAAACTACACTCAAAGGCACAGCGAGTACAGAGAAGGGCGAAACCAGCTCAAGACTTTCGTATTCGTCACTGTCTTCTAGAGCCATTTTTGCGTGCGATGAGAGACGTGAAAGGCGTCGGCTGGGCTAAGTTTCATTTCGAGCACATACTTAGCGAATATCGCGACCTGCTCCCCCAGTAGTGCCGTTGCCTGACGTCTCCTAGTCACGAGCATAACACCGCCACCGTGCTATCATCTCCGACGAAAAAAAGTCTACAAATCGGTGGTCGCTTTATTCTAGAGTCAGCCCCATATGCGAAGGGCGGTTCAAAAATGCTTGATAATGAGATCACTCCAAAAGTGATTGGCTTGGTATTGTACAATCCTGCCCACTGTTGAACAACAACTCTACTACTTTGAACATCCGCAGCCGCCACATCTGGTTGCACCGGGGTTACCACCGCATACTTTGCAATCCTTGCACATCTTTGGCGTTTGCGCGGGCTCGCTTTTGAGAAAGCTCTTGGGAACGCTATTTAAATTAGGATCAGGTAACAAAATCGCCAGAAGTGTCACTGACCTGTGCCGTGGAAGAAAATTAGGCAACTGGCAGGGATTTTGCAGCGGAGGAAGATCGGTAGGTCGTTAGGCGGAAAACAACAAATATATACTCAGTCCGAAATAGGCCTACGCTGAATGGGTGGCGCTTTCCGAGCTAAAAGTAACACGTGCCACACGCCTACCCCTCAGGCTTCAACCTTACATCCACATCAGCCATGTCACTAATGGAGAAATGCGCTTCTTGTTCGAGAACTAATCGCTGGCTGATACAGTAAGTATTCTGGAAAGGGTAAAAGTCTGCTTGCTGAACAATCTTGCGTACCAGAACGAATCGCCGAATAGAAGAAATCAATGCCTGTACAGTAAGAGCCAGCTTGACATACGTGTTTCTATATGACCTTGACAATTTTAGGCCCGATATTTCCATACCATCCAGAAACTGCTACAAGAATTAAACGAATCCTCTGCGGAAAACAAAATCGACACCGATGGAGACGAGGGCGAGCACGAGAATGACGATGCGGATAGCGCTGATATTGGTACGGATTTTGGTCCTGAGCAAAGGAATGCATACTTCTGTGCTGAGTTCGAATGTCGGCAACGCAAAGCAGATGCAACTTTCAAGAAATACAGTCGACACTACAAGACTCGTAAACTGTCTACCTATTTTCAACCGTTAATCATCAGCTAACACGAAATTCTAGACGTTGCATGTGCAGTTCCTTGCGCAGGCTGTCACACAACACTTGTTCGCGTGTCTACACTCAAAAGACATTTCACCGACTGTGCAGGGATAAAAGACAAACGAACAATGTCTGGACACACGGAAGCAATAGAGCACATGAAGAACCAGATCGACATCGAATCAAAAATGGCTTCCCACGCAGCTCGAGCAGCACTTCAAAGCTGCAAACGCCTTCGCCAGACAAAGTCGAATATTTTGAGACCGCGCAAGAAGTCGAAATCGGAGACATATCCAGGCTATTCATTTTCCGCAAGCCGGGCATTTGACCAACAACAAAGCAGATGCACCGACGACAACGAACAGCAATCACAGGTACCAAGGACTACAATGAACATCATTCCCTCATCATACTCTGGAGGCAATCAGGTAAGGGCGCAGAATGTTACGACAGGCACGGGAGATTCGGAAGATACAAGCGAGAAAATCGATGAGATGCTTGTATATCTTGAACACGACCAGCGCTCGACAGTGCCGGACATGCACGCGGCTGCCATAGACCCGAGCGAATTGAACGAATCAACGAACGAACCAACCATGTACCATGACAAGCAGTATTCTGCAATAGGTAACCCGATTTCGGCCATCAACGCTCCAAGTACAATCTTCGCGAACGATCAGCCCTCACCAGCGAGGAGCACCTCACATGCGATAAGAGGTTCCAGTTTCTTGAGCTATACAATGGATGGATCATTTATGTTCCCAGATGGCCAATATCCAATATCACAAAACACTACATTGGCGAAAAGAGGCTCGAGCTTTACGAGAAATACGATGGATGGATCGTTCATGTATACTGATAGCTCGCATGCCACGGCACAGAGCATTGCCACAGACAATTCAGGATCGTGGCATCTTTCATAATTGAGTTCTGTCATACAAAACCAAAATACAGGCATGCTCTTTATTCCCTAGGCCCTGCCATTCAAGACATGCGACATTTCTTTATTCCCATCACTTCTTGTCCTCTGCCCCTGACATATTGAGCTTCCTAAAAATGAAATGCGTTCGGAATCCTTGACTTTCTAATTCAGCAACCTTCGAGCGAAGAGGTTGCGTGTCTGGTAGTTCCATCCAACCCCACTCTGCTACTTCCTCATCACTACCCAATGCAATATTCATGAAACCTCCGGCCTCGCAAGTCCAACCTAGTCGACTGTCGATAATAG